CTAATGTTTCTACCATTGTAGGTTACAGACCTCTTGTCCCGAGCTGCTTTCAGGATTTTCTCTTTGTCTCTGAGACTTGTGAGTTTTACTATTAGATGTCGGGGTGTTGACCTATTTTTATTGATTTTGAGGGGGGTTCCTTGTGCCTCCTGGTTTTGATGCCTGTTTCCTTCCTCAAATTAGGGAAGTTCTCTGCTATAATTTGCTCTAGTATACCGTCTGCCTCCCCCTCTCTTTCTTCTTCTTCTTCTGGGATCCCAATTATTCTAATATTGTTTCATCTTATAGTATCACTTATCTCTTGAATTCTCCCCTCAGGATCCAGTAGTTGTTTATATCTCTTTTTCTCAGCTTCTTTATTCTCCATCATATATATAGTGATCTTCTATATCACTAATTCTCTCTCTTCTGCCTCATTTATCCTAGCAGTTAGAGCCTCCATTTTTGATTGCACCTCATTAATAGCCTTTTTGATTTCGACTTGGTTAGATTTTAGTTCTTTTATTTCTCCAGAAAGGGATTCTTTAGTATCTTGTGCTTTTTTTTCAAGCCCAGCTAGTATCTTTATAATCGTCATTCTGAACTCTAGTTCCAACATCATAGTAATGTCTGTATTGATTAGGTCCCTGGCAGTCAGTACCGCCTCTTGTTCTTTTTTTTTTTTTGAGGTGAGTTGTTCTGTTTTGTCATTTTGTCCAGAGAAGAATGGATGAATGAGAGAACAAAATGCTAATAAGGGAACAATGACCCCAGAAAAATATACACTAAACAAATCAGAAGAGACCCAAAACTGGGGGGAAAAAGGAAAAAGAAAAAAGAATATGATTAGGCTGGTGAATAGAACAGAACCACACACTAGATTTTGGGTCTATTTTGGTCTGTTAGAAGAAACTGCCTCCAAAAATTTTAAAGAAAGAAAAACATATATGTACAAAAATAAGGGTAAATACAAGGAAGGGATGGAATATGACTGTAAAGATGAAAATTAAAAAAGATTTTAAAAAAGGAATTGATAAGAAGTTGGTTGAAAAAAGAAGAAAAATTTTTTTTTTTAAAAAGGAGAGAAAGTGATCAGGCAGGAGACTAGAACAAAGCCATACACTAGATCTGGGGTATATTTTGGCTGTTAGGAGAAACTGTGTTCCAAAATTTTAAAGAAAGAAAAACTTGTATATATACAAAAGATAAGGTTAAATACAATGAAGGGATAGAATATGACTGTAAAAATGAAAATTAATAAAGACTTTAAAAGAGGAATTGATAAGATGTTGGTTGAAAAAGGAAAGAAGAAAATTTCAATAAAAAAAGAAATAGAAAAAGAAAAAATAATGAAAATTAAGAAAATTAACTTTGAAAGACTAAAGAATCATGGGAAAAAGCCATGAATTCTATGTGCTGTATCCCCATAGCGCTGGAGTTTTGCAGTTCTCATTGATTGGTAAACTTGGTCTTGTCTGGATGTTCTTGCTGATCTTCTGGGAGAGGGACCTGTTGCAGTGATTCTCAGATGTCTTTGCCTGAGGTGGAATTGCACCGCCCTTGCCAGGGGCCAGGCTAAGTAATCTGCTCGGGTTTGCTCTCAGTAGTTTTGTTCCCTGAAAGCTTTCCCTACAGCTTTAGGGGACAGAATGAAAATGGCAGCCTCCCAATCTCTGGCCCTGGAGGAGCTGAGAGCTTGGGGCCCCACTCCTCAGTGAGCCCTCAGAGAAAAGAAGTCAATCACTCCTGTCTCCCGGGCTGCACTCCATGCTCACCAGGCCTGTGACTGAGTGTTTCTATCTCTGGCACATGACCCCGTTTGGAGTCTCCAAACCCAGCAGATTCCTGCGGTGCACTCCCGTGCTGCTCCTTCCGGGGGAGGAAGGGGAGTCTCCCTGGATCTGCTGCTTGTTGGGTCCCTGCTCAAAGAGTAGTGGCCCGAGTGTGCTGCGGATCACAGTTTATGGCAACCCCAAGCTGAGAGCCCACTCCTTGGCTCCGTCTCTGCAGCTGGATTCCCCGCTCTGATACCTGGGAGCTCTGCCGCACTCAGGCACCCCTGGTCTTTCTGTGACCTCTCAGGGTCCTGAGACCACACTGTCCCAGTGAGTGTTCCACCCCCTGTTTAGCCACTGGAGCGACGTCCCTCAGCAGAGCAGACTTCTAAAAGTTCCAATTTTGTGCTCTGCTGCTCTATCACTTGCCGGTAGCAGCTGACAGAGGCAGCCTCTCCCCCGCAATCTATCTTCCCAAATATCGCCTCAGATTCACTTCTCTGCATGTCCTACCTTCCAGAAAGCGGTTGCTTTTCTATTCATAGAGTTGCTGCTATTCTTTTCTTTGATCTCCTGTTGAGTTTGTTGGTGTTCAGAATGGTTTGATAACTATCTAGCTGAATTCCTGGGACCCTACAAAATTTAGGTCTCCTACTTCTCCGCCATCTTGCTCCTCCTGTGCTTACTCTTCTACAACTCTCAAATTTTCTATAATGACCAAGCATTATCTTAGTATTTACTTTGTACATAATTACACATGACTCAGAGCTCCCTTTGCTAGCAACATCTACCTTGAGCAAAGTTATATTGCATCAGGAACATCAGCTGGTTATTGTCTAGGGCATATCTTTGGAATTTGAGTTTAAAGTTAATTTCTTCATCTTTGCCACTGTGTAAAAGGTGGTCAGACAGAAGTAGTGGGCAGCAGAATTATGGTTTAGGAATTATTGTTAATACAATACTTTTTTTCCCTTTCTTTATGTTTGGCTGTTAGGGAAAAATGATCACTAATCACTGATTTTGTACTATTGGCCTCAGGAGAGAGCCTCAAATCCCAAAATGTTAAATAAAACATTTATATTTGCTTCTATTTGCATCTCACTACGCAATGGCTTTTTGTGGTGTGAAGTAAGTGTTATGGAGTCTGGAGCTCCTGTGAAAACATGGGGCACCTGCTTGAATGCCAGGGAACCCCTGTTGTTCTTCTTGGGTAGTTTTCCTGAGATGGAATTCATATGTGTTACAATTCACCCATTTAAAGCACACATTCTATAGTTCTTAGTATGTTCAATTGTGCGACCATCACCCCCAATCAATTTAAGAACATTTTTACCACCTCAAAAAGAAATGCCATATCCTTTAGGCATCACCCCCAATCCTTCCTTCCTCCTTAGCCTCTGGCAACCACTAATCTACATTTTATCTTTGAAGATGTGCCTGCTCTGAAGATTGCATGTAAGTGGACTCAAAAGAGACCCTTGTTCTTAATCCAGTAATTTATAGAAGAGTTGGGTATTTCACAGAGCTATACAGACTTTTTTTCTTTTTTAGAGAGAGAGCATGTGCCCACATATATGCATGCAAATAGAGGTGGGGAGTGGGGACAGAGGGAAAAGAAGAGAGAGAATCTTATGCAGGCTCTGGATCCAGCAAGAGCCCAAGGCAGGGCTTGATCTCACAACCCTGAGATCATGACCTGAGCTGAAATAAAGAGTCCGATGCTCAACTGACTGAGCCACCCAGGTGCCCTGAGCTATATAGATTTCCCATTAAAAAAACTTACATGTGTTGGTATTTTCAGTCTCCCACCAACTAATAACGGGTGAAAGTTACTGTATGTCAGCTGTCTGTTATCCGTCCATTTGTTTACCCTTTCATAGGCAGTCCAGCGCAAACCAATCCATAAAGTAGCCTCCATATCCGGAAGCAAGGATGTAATAAAATCTGTCAGAAAGAGATTTTTTTTTAAGTATTTGACTTATTCAAATTAAAGGTACACTAAAACTGTCAATGAATACCTCTTGCTTACCTACAAAGATACGCTTTTACCTATTCTGTAACAAAGTAGTTTAATAAGATTTTTTTAATATGCTAATTCCCCAAAGCCTCTCAGAACTAACTTGGTCCCCAGATCAGAATAATACATGTTTCCAAAACAATTCCATTACCTTGTTCTCTCTGGCTCAGCACTGAAGGAAGGGTGCCACCATATGTGCGACAAGTATCACTCGCTTGGGAAAATGGGAGAGACTTCGGTTTGATTTTTAGGAAACACTGCAAACAAAAAACATCTATGAAGCATAAGATTCCAGACACAGGAAAGCTCACATAGGAAGTAAACACCTCGTCTTTTAGAGCGCTGCTAATTTTTGGTCTGTGAAATATGGAAATTAACAAAGTAGTACTATACAAATGCAGATCTACACTCTCAATATAAACAACTAAAGAGTGGTCTATTAGTCAAACTATTTTTTAAAAAAATCTCCCATTTATGGCTTCCTATGTGCTAAACAGTTTGCATAATACTATCTCATTTAATTCTCACAACAAATGGGGAAACCGAGGCACAGGGCAGTTGAGTAACTTCACCTATAAGTGAAATAGCCAGGCAGTGGTATTGTCAGCACTTAGATTCTGTTCCATCTGACTCCAAAGGCTGCCCTTGTAATCATCACCTCCTTATATAAAAACACACATTTAAAAAAAAAATCACCCCCCCTTTTTTTATTATGTTCAATTAGCCAGCATATAATACTTCATTAGTTTTTGATGTAGTGTTCAACGATTCATTAGTTGCATATGACACCCATTGCTCATCACCATATGTGCTCTCCTTAATACCTATCACCCAGTTACTCCATCCCCCCACCCTCATCCCCCTTTCTTTGGGTAGGATATTTTAATTCAAATTTACATCAACTATGTAAATTAATTTAGTCCCAGTATCTTTGGAGGGAAAAAAAGATTGTTCTAATTTTATTTTTTAATTTTTTAATAATATTTGTATTTTTTAAGACTTTATTTATTTATTTGACAGAGAGACACAGTGAGAGAGGGAACACAAGCAGGGGGAGTGGGAGAGGGAGAAGCAGGCTTCCCGCTGAGCAGGGAGACTGATGCGGGACTCGATCCCAGGACCCTGGGATCATGACCTGAGCTGAAGGCAGACGCTTAATGACTGAGCCACCCAGGTGCCCCAAGATTGTTCTAATTTTAAAAAGCCAAAATACGTCCTTACTATTTTAGCTTCAGTGCAGATGCTTTCAGTTGTCAGACGCATATCTTCCTTTTTCTTTTTGATATGATCATATTAGTGTGGATTGGTACACCCTAAATAGTGTTCTTTGAACAATTCTACAAAATGCTTCTTTTTTTCAGCCTCCTTAGAGACTGGAGTGGCCAATGAGCTATATGTCATTGGGTAGCTTCTAGAAAAGACCCTAGACAGAACACCCTGAACTTGAGCTTGGAAGCTTTATTATGTTAAAGATCACAGAGCAAAAAGAAAAAAGGAGCCTGGATTTGAAGATGTGGTGGAGCTTCCATACCAGCCCCAGCCCACTTCCCATCAAACGTCTTTTGTGTGAGAGAATAGATATTTTAACATAGTATAGCAATCTCTTACTTAGCAGCCAAATGCATTTCCAAAGAGATAAATATACCAATATGGATTATGCATTTCAAAGATGCAGATACAGAATGTAGCATTTCCCAAACCTATTTAATCATTAAAGACCCTTGAAGGCAAGATCAATGATTAACATTTTGTTAGCATATGTGTAGTGTAGAGCCCCAAAAATAGTTTGGGAAATGCTGGTCTAATTTTTTTTTTTTCCAATTCACAGCACTCACCATAGCACACACCCTCCCCAATGTCCATCACCCAGCTACCCCATCCTTCCCACTCCCCTCCACTCCAGCAACCCTCAGTTTGTTTCCTGAGATTAAGAGTCTCTTATAGTTTGTCTCCCTCTCTGGTTTCACCTTGTTTCATTTTTCCCTCCCTTCCCCTATGATCCTCTGCCTTGTATGTCAAATTCCACATATCAGTGAGATCATATGATACATGTATTTCTCTGATTGACTTCTTTTGCTTAGCATAATACCCCCTAGTTCCATCCACTTCATTGCAAATGGCAAGATTTCATTTTTTTTGATGGCTGCATAATATTCCATTGTACATATTTACTACATCTTCTTTATCCATTCATCTGTTGATGGACATCTAGGCTCTTTCCATAGTTTGGCTATTGTGGACATTGCTGCTATAAACATTGGGGTGCATGTACCCCTTCGGATCACTACATTTGTATCTTTGGGGTAAAATGGATGAAAGACCTAAATGTGAGACAGGAATCCATCAACATCCTTGAGGAGAACACAGGCAGCAACCTCTTTGACCTCAGCCACGGCAATGCTGGTCTAATTTAATTGGTAGATGCTGCCTGAATGCTTTCTTTCAAGTGGAAAATAGATCAGCCAGAAATTGTCAGTTTCCTTCTTGCTATAGAGATAGTTTTATTATTTAAAGTATTATAATCCACTGACCAATCAACTTCAGCAATTTAAGTTTACTAGCACAGAATAGGAACACAGTACTTTGAAAGACCTGTAGGCATGACTAACTTGAGAGCTAACTTGGTTTCTGGCACTGTAGAGGATCAGGTGAGTTACTGAAACATGCAGAGGCTTTCTTAGTGAAGTTATGTGATGGGCTACGATTCTGCCACAGGCCATACAACCATCATGAAAGCAATCATCATTTGTACAATGTAACAATTCTCTTTTTACCTTATTCTGAAAAGTAATCCAATCCCCAGAGCACTGTATTTTAGCTGCAGAATCTGGACTATATTTTTCTAATGAAGAGACATTATATTTTTCACAGATGAAGGGCAACTTGGTACTACAGTCTGCTGGTTTATTTAAGTCTGAGAAATGAAAAGCAAGATTACAGGGGTGAGAATTTTCTGTTCAGCACATTTTAAAAACAATCCAGTAGTAAAAAAAATATCTTTCGATCGATCTTTCCCAAACAGTTAAAATATATTCCTTTTTTACTCTAGCCATTTCTATCTTCTGTAATTACTCATATCAGTAGGCTATAGCATACCAGCATTGCCTATAAAAATGCACACATTTGGTGGAAGGACCACAGTTACCACCACAGTTCCTGATGGTGGGAAATAGGTTGAAAGCAAAGCCTAACGAAGGGAAAAGACACCTAGACTATATTTAGAATTGCTACCTGTTTATCTTTGCAAATTTGTCTATATGCTTATCAGTGATGAAAGTGGTAAGTTTATTTCTAAGTAACTGCTTTAGGATAAAGGAAGGAAAAATATTCACAGTGAAAAGCACCTCTATTTGCATTTGGAATTTAAGCCAGGGTCATTAGCAATAAGCCAAAAGAAGATGAAGCAACCAAACGTATAATCAAAAGGAAAGCAAGGTTAAGCTAGTAATTGAACCTGAAGTTCACACATTACATAATCAACATTAAAGGATTTGGAATTAATTTACCACTAAACCAAGTCTTGGCAGACATGCACAGGCATTCCTCCCGAAATGTTATAGGAAAGTGAGGCCATGGATATCGTGAGCTGAAAGAAAATGAGAGATTTCACAGCTCATAGCATAGTTACATGTTCTATTCTGTCTTCTACTGTAATTTTAATTCTAAATTTAATGTTACGCCATTACTTTATACCACATTTTTCTTGATGCTAATATGCAAAAGGACTTGGTTTCTGTAGTCCACGCAGTTTATGGATTAATGTTCAAAACAGATTATAAATAGCATTTTCTAAAGGGGAATTTGGAACTGCTTCTTTCCAATGCCTTTATAAAGGCAACATCAATGGTGTCACATACTATATAGAACGATGACGATCGGCTGGCTGCTCAGCAGTTCTCACCCACCACTTCTGTTCATCACCAGATATCTGAAAAACAAACCAACCAACCAACAAAATCACCCATGCTTATATGTGCTCAGTTTTCTGAAAGAGTTTTCATTTAAATAGCCAGTCCCACCGTAACCACAACCACTAAAATTTCCAGACATTCCATTACTTCGGTCTCTAAATTATCAGGTCCTTTCATCAAAGAAGTAGCTGAAAACTCTTCGTATAACACTATGCGCTATTTTGCATACAGAAAATAGGGTCACTGTAATTACAGGCATATGTTAATTGGATATATAGTGTTCTATTGCAAATAATTATAAATTTAAAAACATAAAATTATTTTTCCTACAAAAAGCTATTTTACAAAGTTAGTTATTAGAAGAAACAAAAATCTAGTACAAAATCTAACAAAGAATTAGAATATTTTATATTATCTATTTGTGCTCATTTTATAAACTGACATTTATAATTAATCTTGAATATTTTAAAACATTATGTAGTTCTATTTAACTTTTCTAACATGAAACGATGAATTTGGATGTTGTTAGGCAAATTTTACTTGAAAGGAACATTTAACTTCTGTAGATTTTGGCAAGATTTCTGAAATAATTTTTAATGGAATAAATATCAAAATAAGAAAGATTTTAAATACATTCTCTCAAATTACATTTGCTATTTTGTTTTTGACGGCTTTTAGTCCTGCAAGAGATGTCAGCGTAGCCAGAGAGCTGTGATTGCTAGCACAATACAGGACAGCTTCTTCATAGTTTAAGTGAGGATTGGCAACAAACCAATATTCACTCCCTTCAATTACAACCGGAGGTCCATGAATTCCAGCACGCTCTAAAGAAGAAGAATATTGGAGTTATGCACAGATCAAACTGCACCTTCTAAGCATGAATTAATGTTCAAAACTATTTATAAATCCATTTAGATTATTGGCTCTCTCTGGCCAGGGCAGTCCTTCTTGTCAAGCACCAGGGATTGCTGAGCCAGAGATTTTGCCACCCTCCTGTACTCACAGAGAGGAACAAATCCAGCCCCAAAGCCTCATTCCACACCAGCCCATCACCTTTCCTGCCTGGAGGTATTTCATCTCCCTTGAAGATGTGATAGAGAAGCTGGCAGTTAGGCCTGGGCTTAAATAATTAACTGAGTACATTACTGAAAAGGTAGAAGCAGTTTGGCTAAGTTTCAGTTTTCTTAACTTACCTGGATTGTACCAGTCTGGTGTTTTTGGAGTATGGCCTGTATAAGAAAGCAAAAGGCTCAAGATTAGTATCCAATTACAGATAATGTCATACTGTAAGTAAGTGCCTTTAATCTAACTCAAGAGCACTTGCAGGATTGCTGAGTTCGACCATTTCTGGCCAAACCATTTCCTTTCATATTATGATTGCTTCAGTTTGAATTTTGTGGGGCCTAAGCTAAAGCTGCTTTAGTGGCAATCAAAAGGGCAGATCTGTTAACTATTAAAGTATTCCTAGCAGTTCTCTATCTTATATCACGGAAGCCACAAAGGAAGACTAGATGGATAAAATATGGCTAATAATTAGAAAGTATAAATAAGTAAATGAGTATATTATATACATTACATAGAAGCACTAAGGAACAGGCACCAAGATAATCATCACTGCAGGATGAGGTTATTCAGGAACTACTTCTCCATCTAATGCAATTTGAATGATTGTTCTATAAACCTGGGTCAGTAGAGTTCATTGTCCCCCAAGGCATCCTTGTAAACAATGTACAGTAATCGAGTATTGAAACTTTTGAGGAGGTGAGAGACAAAACTGGGAGAAAAATAATAAAAATCACCCAGAACTCCTCATCAGAAACAGAGAAAATATGGTACTTTACAAAGAATTATGGGCCTTGAAGTTGGGTGGGTCAGGGTCCAAATGCCCTCAGACCTTCAGTGGGACTTTGGATCAGCTGCTTAGCTCCCTGAGACTCAGCTCTCTACTCTGTAAAAAAACAAGACTCTACTACCTAACTCAACAACTGTGAAAATCACTTTAAGGCTGCCCCAGCAGAAGCACCCAGACAATTCCAGGGCTGAGCGGCTCCCCTCTCCCATAAGGATGCTAGTTGCTTTCCTCTCCCTTTTCATTCTGGTTGTAGGTCATACTGGTTTCAAGGCAAAAACATAGTTTGATGACTATTAGAAATTACAGGGTAAAACAGCTGTTCTTAATTTTGCTGTCGTCTGGGCCTATTGCAGAGAAGACCCTACTCAGAGGACTGCCTATATATCCAACATCTTTGGTTTCTCTCTATGAGTCAGTTCTTTGTATATTGGATAATTTCTATCAACAATGGGTTAAATCTGTTAAAAATATGCATAGTTTCTTGTTTGTAATCTTGTCAAAAACTTCTGTTCAGACACATGAAAAAATGCTCAGCATCACTCGGCATCAGGGAAATACAAATTAAAACCACAACAAGATACCACCTCACACCAGTCAGAATGGCTAAAATTAACAAGTCAGGAAACAAAAGATCTTGGCAAGGATGCAGAGAAAGGGGAACCGTCCTACACTGTTGGTGGGAATGCAAACTGGTGCAGCCACTCTGGAAAATAGTATCTGTGATCCAGCAATTACACTACTAGGTATTTATCCAAAGGATACAAAAATAGTGATTCAAAGGAGCACCTGCACCCCACTGTTTATAACAGCAATGTCCACAGTAGCCAAAATATGGAAAGAGCCCAGATGTCCATTGGCAGATGAATGGATAAAGAAGATGTGGTATGTATATATATGGCATTGGTATTGCATATATGGTATTATATATATATATACCTTATATACATGTAATATATATATAATGGAATATTACTCAGTCATCAAAAAGAATGAAATCTCGTCATCTGCAACGATGTAGAGCTAGAGTGTATTATGCTAAGTCAAAGAAGTCAGTCAGAGAAAGACAAATACCATATGATTTCACTCATATGTGGAATTTAAGAAACAAAACAGGTGAACATAGGGGAAGGGAAGGAAAAATAAGATAAAAAACAGAGTGGGAGGTAAACCATAAGAGATTCTTAACTATAGGGAACAAATTGAGGGTTGCTGGAGGGGAGGTGGGTGGGGGAATGGGGTAACTGGGTGATGGGCATTAAGGAGGGCACTTGAGGTAATGAGTACTACATGTTATATGCAAATGATGAATCACTAAATTCTACCCCTGAAACTAATAATGCACTATATGTTAACTAAATTGAATTTAAATAAAAAATTAAAAACATCTGTTCATTTGTTTTTTGGAGGAACCTATGTCTAATCTTGAAATTTCTTTAAATTAGTGAGAAAAGCAGAGTTCAAGGTTGGTTTTTTTTTTCACAAGCTTACGTATGTGTGTACAAGGTATCAAGAAATATAAAAACAGTTGTGTTTGGATAGTGGCATTATAGGTGATTTTCCTAAAATATTTTTATAAGCCTTATTTTTGATACTGTTTTTCAATGAAAAATATAATTTTAAAATTATATATATCTATAGTGGTTATGGCTATTCAAAAATTTTAGCTTGTCAGAACATCCCTTTTAGAGAAGAGGACCAACTGGGTCAGTTAATAAAAAAGGCAAATATTCTGGTTTCTCTCCAGATCATATGAATCTTTTGTCTTTTTTAAAAAGGCAAGAGCTAGAGAAAAGGTATAGTGATTTAGGCTACTGAAGAAGTAAACTGCTTTCAGAAAACCAGAAAAATACAGATTAATACAGAAATATCCAGTTGAGCAGACTCTGCAGGCTCTACTAACTGAGAGAATATCCAGCTACGTGAATGTGACACAGTGTAACTTAGAATTTAGGGACTGTCAAAGGACAGTTTACATAATATTTAAACTCTGGATCAAACAGTCATTGATGGCTTCAAACAACTGTGAATAGGCTGAGACAGGAAGTTCTTTAGTTTTACAATTTTGTTTCTGTGTGGGGACAGCAGGGGTGCAATTATTTAGAAGATCTATTTAGTTAGTTAATAGGTTTACGTTTGCTAAGTTAGTTAATTCCCTTCTTTTTCATTTAAAATAAAAAAATACATAAAAAGAAAAAAAGACAACCACATGCTCTTCGGAATATTTCCTGTGGTTACTGGTTTGTAATTTCTATGGTTATGCTGGTGTGAACTCTTGGGTCTGCCCCACCACTCAAACAGAAGCCACGGGGGTGGGGTGGCAGCTACCGTGAGAGGGCACACTTTGGAGGGAGCAATGACACTCTCTGTGCCATGTTAGCAAACACCAAAGACTAATGGGAACATCACCATTACTGCTTCAATCCAGAGACATTATCCAAATTAGCTATTATGTTAGTTACTTCCCTGCTTGTTTAAAGGGTACCCAAACTGGTTTCCTTTTGTTCCTCTTTTAGGTTTCATCAAATAATCAGAAATAACTGAAGTATAATTTCTCCCTTAGAAAAACCTCTCACACACACACTCTCCTCTTTTATTAATGGCCTGCCAGTTGCCTTTGTGAAAGAGACTTACCAGTTACTGTGTTGGATATTATGTCTTTTAAAGGCAATATGGTGGTGACCTTTTTAAGGAAAAAGAACAATCTTCTAATAGGTAGTTGCATGAAGGAACCGTCTGGGTTCTTTGAGAGCTTAGAGGAGGATATACATTTAGTTTCAATGATCTACATTCGGTTCAGAAATTTAGTTTAGAGCTTTCTGTGCATTTACCACTAATTAATTTAATATATCCAATAAAATTATTTTTAAGTTATTAAGAAATAATTTGGCTGTTAAAAATCTTAACACTTTCCTTAATATTTCTTTAACATTTTCCTAGTAACAAGCTAAGTAAAATGGTATATCTTTATTCTCCTTTCTCTCCTTTTTATCACCAAAGCCTCTACTATCAAACTAACTGGTTTCCTGAATTTGAATTTGAATTCTATAAACTACTCCCAGTTTTGGAGTTCAGTGCAAATTGCTTCTACATGTTACAGAGACCTGCCAAATTTTGATTTCTTGACTTTTGCCTCATTTTCCCCAAGCTTATCTTCATTTTGTCCTTCATTTTGCATCAAAATAAAAATTGAAATGATTCCCTCCATTATGTGTCTTCTTTTAGTTGAAATAATCTTTCATCCCAAAATCTAATCTCTCTAAATTCATCTTAAATTTTATCTTCTATACAAATTCTTTCATGATCAAAGAGGAAAGTACCATCTAACCAGCCTTCTACTTAGGGTAGGAGTCAGGCAGGATGGAGTTTAATATATTAACTACATCTTCATAGGCTTTTTAAAGTTATAATTATAGACTAAAATGCTCTCTTAGGTACTTTAGGCTTGGCATTTACAATGTTCACGCAAGAAGATTGTGAAAAGGAATAACTACACTTACCTTTTGGAATCTGGCATACCCATTCAAGTTTTGTATCACAAGCAAAAGGTCTTAAGTAAATAAATTCTCTGTCATCATAGAAATACCAGCTTCTTCGCCCTGGCCTCTGAATGACCTAAAGGAGGAAGAGGATTGAAGAGTATTTTGAAGTTGATGCAGCTTTATAAAACACTAAAGTGTAAGCCCTATAGTCTTTAATCTATTTTAGCCCTAGCACCCAAGATATTTGTTTATGAGTGAATACAGTGTTTAAATAGTTAACAGCCTAATCAAGAATCTTCAAAGGGGCTGACACAGGAAATATATCATAAGGTCATGTTTATATCCAAAATGTAAATTATTGGGTTTTTTTTTCCGTTTTTGCTGATATGAAATTATAGCTTGCATCTTTAAATTTGAGAAAGGTCAACCTAAAAAAAATGTTTACTTCAGTGGCTTCCCAACACCAGATTATGATTAAAGCAGATCTGTGAAAATGGGACATAAGAGTCTGACATCAAGGGCCAGGTTCCTGCTCTGGTGTTGCTCTGCACCGCTAGGATGTTAACCTCCTCTGCGTGATCCGAGATAGCTCTCTACAAACCCCAGCCAGTGAGCAGGCAAGAGAGGAAACGGGAGGGCATGACCGAGGAGGAATCTCCATCACTTTTTGGTCTGTTTTCTCTCTCTCTCTCTCTTTTTTTTTATTATGTTATGTTAATCACCATACATTACATCATTAGTTTTTGATGTAGTGTTCCATGATTCACTGTTTGCGTATAATACCCAGTGCTCCATGCAGAACATGCCCTCTTTAACACCCATCACCAGGCTAACCCATCCCCCCACCCCCCTCCCCTCCAGAACCCTCAGTTTGTTTCTCAGAGTCCATAGTCTCTCGTGGTTCGTCTCCCCCTCCTATTTCCCCCCCCTTCATTTTTCCCTTCCTTCTATCTTCTTCTTCTTCTTCTTCTTTTTTTTTTTTTTAACATATAATGTATTATTTGTTTCAGAGGTACAGGTCCGTGATTCAACAGTCTTATACAATTCACAGCGCTCACCATAGCACATACCCTCTCCAATGTCTATCACCCAGCCACCCCATCCCTCCCAGCCCCACAACTCCAGCAACCTTCAGTTTGTTTCCTGAGATTAAGAATTCCTTATATCAGGGAGATCATATGATACATGTCTTTCTCTGATTGACTTATTTCACTCAGCAACTGACAGAATGGGAGAAGATATTTGCAAATGACATATCAGATAAAGGGCTGGTCTGTTTTCTCTTAAGGCCAAGATTCTGGTGGGTACTAAGGGGAGATTTTCCTTCTAGAACACTGCCCTAGCTGGCCTTGTTCCTGACATAGGCTGCATCAGTGTCTCTTTTATTTAGCTATTTTTTTTTTTTGGTAGATTTTCTAATCTCTTTATACATAAGAACTCTACTTACATATAACACAGTTTTTGCATCAGTGTTCTGGAAACTTTACAAACTTCTCTGACGTTTTCGCCTTCTCATGTGTTAAGCTGAGAATTCTATAAAAATGGCATGATACTATGCAGTTTATTACTAGAACAATTGCTTTGAAAATAGTGCTTTCCAGTGGGCTTCTCAGTTCTTTGTCTCAAGCTTCCTGCAGCATTTCTGAACAATCACTCTCTTGAATCTCTTTCTTGGGCTTGCATAGCAAAGATATAATCTATATGTCTCCTACTTCCTCATCTTACATTTTATGTATTGACAGTTCACCTAAATCCACTTTTGGTGCTTTGCACTTTTTTTTTTAATATACATTTTTCCTTCAACTCTGGTCTTTGGATTTCAACTTACTATAGGATATTTCTTACTACTAGCTTGAATTCAAAATATCTAAATAAAATCTACTATTTTCTCCATAAACCAGTATCCTTTCTATTTCTAGAAACACCTAGTCATACAGCAGGGTAGACCCAGACATGTGGGTTTAAATTTCAGTTCTGTAATCATGTATACTTAGAACTCAAATTTCTTCCTCAAAAAATGAATTTGTAATAGTACCTACCTCACAAGGTCATGTAAGTACTAAGTGAAATAATAAGTACCTAGCTCATGAGTTAACAAGTGTTAGCTGATGCCACCATCATCATCATTACCTCCCATAACACTCTTGTTCTTGCATAAAACTTATACCTCATCTGTCATAGTTCCTGTAATTGCTTGTTTACCTATCTCCTACTAGACGTAAGTTCTGTGAAGACAACTGTTTTACACCTTGTTTTTGGTGTATCCCCCAGAGCATCACAGACTGCTTGGACTACTTTATGGAATCAGTAAATGAATGAATTTTGCAAAGGAACATGCCTAACTGTTCTTTTATGTCTTCTGGTCCTATTTGCTGCATCTTGAAATCTGACTTAAGATGAATCTTCTTCCTATCCTCCTTGGTTCATGTCAAAAACCTTTTTTTTTTAAAGATTTTATTTATTTATTTGTCAGAGAGAGACAGCATAAGCAGGGGGAGTGGCAGACAGAGGGAGAAGCAGGCTCCCCGCTGAGCAAAGGAGCCCTATGTGGGACTCAATCCCAGGACCCTGGGATCATGACCTGAACCAAAGGCAGATGCTTAACCAACTGAGCCACCCAGGTGTCCCTCAGAAAACTTTTATAATGCTGTTGCCTAACATCAATCTAATTTCCCAACTTTGTTTTCAACTCTGGCACCAATGAAAACTTCTTGATCTGTATTCTGTTCTCCTCACTGCCTTAGCCTCTCCCTTATTTTATGCCACCTCCTCATGCCATCCCCCATTAGAAAGGTTTACCCTTACCTGTACAAAAGCACAGTTCAAGTCCCACCTCTTTCTGGAAATAGGCCAGAAGAATCACTTCCTCTTCTGCGTTTCAACAGCCCTCCTCAGCCCACTAATTTGGAGCCTATTACTGTACAGTAGTAAGAGCACCTTTCTTGAATATGAATTTTATCTTCTCAATTTAAGTCTAAATTAGGGGGCTTGAGGACGAGGCCATGGGTGTTCTTACCTCCCATTGCATCTAATATCATGCTCCACACACAAAAGGCACTCTGTAGATCTGTTGCCTCATTGCACACAATGCCAAATTTATTTTTTAAATATGCAGATTTCCAGCATTGTACTGACCTTGACAGCAGCACAGTCTCTGATATCATAATCCTGGTGAAACTCATTTTCCATGAGAATAGTAGACACCTTAAAAAACAAGAGAGGCTTGAGAACTTAAGACCGATGTATAAATATCTGCAAATTAGATGTAATTTAGGCAGCTTTAATAACTCAAACACATTCACATGCCAAAGAAGGAAAACTTCTTCATCTTTTTTTTAATATCAGGATGTTAAATCATGAGATGATGTAGAAAATATCATACTGTCATCAGTTTCCAAACAAAGGAAGCTATAGTTTCAGAAGTGGAGGTTAATACTGTATTAAGTTTGTAGCTGGAATCACAGAGAATAAGGAGCTTGCAAAAGACCTTTTTTGGGCATGTGTTGAAATGCTAGTTATTCAATTAACTAATTTCAGATATACTCCCACTTGAAAATGAAAGTCAAGAAATTTTACATTTGGAAAGAATATATGATGAATTGACACAATGGTAATGTGGAGTACATATTCAATAAATTTGAGAATAATTTGCTCCTATAAGTGTTACCTAAAACCTCTCTTTAGGATAATGTAAACATTTGAAATAGTATTTAAGGTCTTTTTAAGGTTTCCCCAAACAAATTATTTCCCCCAATAAGAATACATTCTTTTTTTATATAACTCTTATATTTTTAGATAATAAAAGTAAAAGCTTCTCATTGTGAGAAAAGGAAATAAAAAACAGCACAAAGAAAAAGAAAAAAAAATTTTACTATCCAAAGATGACCACTATATCTATATATCCATATTTTCATGTTTTTAGGACTATAGAGAAACTATCTGTATGGTTATTTTTTAATCTTTAAAAAATATTTATTTATTTATTTATGATTATTTTTTATTTTTTTATTTTTATTTTTTAAAAGATTATTTATTTATTTATTTGACAGAGAGAGATACACAGAGACAGAGGGAACACAAGCAGGGGGAGTGGGAGAGGGAGAAGCAGGCTTTCCGCTGAGCGGGGAGCCCGATGAGGGGCTCAATCCCGGGACTCTGGGATCATGACCTGAGCTGAAGGCAGACGCTTAACAACTGAGCCACCCAGGCGCTCCATGATTATTTTTTTAAATAAAAGTGAGGCTAGTATCTTTTTTTCCTCACTTTATATATGTGAATGCATTTCCATTTCAATAAAGATACTTCTTCATAATTTTAATGGTTACATAGGATGTGGATGTATTATTTAACAATCAACTTACTTGATATGGAAACAAAAAATCCCTTTACATTATCCCAAACAAGAAAATTTAAACTTACTGGTGTATGATCACTCCACTCCCAGGATCCTAGTAAATCTGGGCTCCTTTTATTCAAACCTATCCACAGCCAACGCTGGTCACTATGTAAAAAGGAAGTATTAAAAAACAATTTGAGCACAGATTTGGCAAAAATATATAGCATTCACATGTCTAAAATACTTAAGACATTTAAGTTTGTCTTGTCACTAATTGGAAAGCACAATTTCAAGCTCTATAAAAAAGAGGTCTTCTGAAATAAAACTAAACCTTAAATATGAAGTAGCTATGGAAAAATTACCATACTTCTTAGAACTAAGTTTTCAGTTATGTTCTTCATATGAAAGGTAAAAACTAGTCTGCTTTGAACTTGAGGGGAAAAAAGTGCATGATTATTCTAAATCTTTTACTGGAGAGCTTCAATATTAGACAATGTTTTCGATACAAAGATAGCAATGGCATTTTCTTGAAGTGTCTGTCTATAACACAATCAAATATCTTTTTTTTAATGCAGAACAAATCATTTGGCTAAATTTTTATTAAACAAGATCAAGATTTTAAAAAATTATTTAATTCCCACTGCCCATTAAGTTTAAAGTAAACAAATATAAGTATCTTTTTTTTTAAAGATTTTATTTTGAAGTAATCTCTACCCCCAATGTGGGACTCAAATTCACAACCCTGAGATAAAGAGTCACATGCTCTACTGTCTGAGCCAGTCAATTGCCGCCCCCCCATTTTCTCAAAGAATAAGTATCTTCTAAAAGCCAAACTCCATGGGTTACACCAGAACAACATAATTAAACAGTCATTTAAGTGATTATATTTAACACTCATAACAATTATACTTCTATGTACAAGGCATTGAGCTAGGTGTCATGGTAATACAGAGAAGTACAAGATGTAATATCTATCCTCAAACGGCATATAAACTACTCAGGGAGACAAGATATACATGAACAAGGAAATAACAACCATTTTGGAAAGATATCAAATGATACAAAATCTGCATTAATTTTAAGCATTACAAAAATTTAGAGAAAGAAGGTCATTGTGGACTGCAGGAAGTCAGGAAACATTTTGTGAGGTTAGTAGGACAAAAGACAGTCTTCAAAGGATGGCTAATATTTCTTTTGAGTCAAAATCTGAGTCTTTAACACTCAACATTCAGATTGACTGAGAAGAGAAAGGATAGACATTTCAAGGAAGGATATGTACAATAACATATAGAAGCAGGGACATATATTGTAAATATCCCTTTTCCTCAATTAAACTTATTCTCTAGCTAGGAAGATATTGCTAATATAAATAGAAGTGATATAGCCATAAAAACATTTTCTTCACCTCTAACCCCACTTGAAAATATTCTCTAAAATGGGTTACACTTTTTAGGCTTTTTTTTTTTAAAGATTTTATTTGTTTATTTGACAGAGAGATAGAGAGAGAGCACAAGTAGGCAGAGAGGCAGGCAGAAGGACAGGGAGAAGCAGGCTCTCCACCGAGCAGGGAACCCAATGCGGGGCTCGATCCCAGGACCCTGGGACCATGACCTGAGCCGAAGGCAGTCACTCAACCAACTGAGCCACCCAGGCACCCCAACTTTTTAGGCTTTTTAAAAAATTTATTATTATGTTCAATTAGCCAGCATATAGTACATCATTAGTTTTTGATATAGTGTTCATTACTTTTTAAATTTTTCATTACTTTACTCATTACTTTTTTTTTTAAAGATTGTATTTTATTTATTTATTTGACAGAGAAAGAGACAGCAAGAGAGGGAACACAAGCAGGGGGAGTGGGAGAGACTGAGCAGGGAGCCTGATGTGGGGCTCGATCCTAGGACCCTGGGATCACGACCCGAGCCGAAGGCAGAGACGCTTAACGACTAAGCCACCCACGTGCCCCTTACTTTTTAAGTAGACTTTTAAGTAGACACTTTTTAAGTAGACTATTATCCATGTAAATTTTTTTTTTTGGTGATGCTGATTACTTTCCATACAATTTAACCTTCTGATTGCATGTAGTATGTATGGTCAGTACATATGACTGTATATTATATATGCATAACTAGATACATATATAAATGTTACATGCATATAAATATAGCACATATTAGAGAAGGCATAGGATCCAAATCTAAAATTAATCCTTACTCTCAAGCTCAGTATATGGAATGTTTAGCTGAAAAATATGTTTGCCTTTCAAAAAATTTGCTAGTGAATCAATGCTAGAGCAAACTTAATTTTACTTCTTTAAAAAATTTTTTATTTATTTACTTATGAGAGAGAGCACAAGCAGGGGGGGAGTGGGAAGGCAGAGGGAGAAGCAGACTCCCTGCTGAGCAGGGAGCCCAATGCAGGACTCAATCCCAAGACCCTGGGATCATGACCTGAGCTGAAGGCAGATGCGCAACCGACTGAGCCACCCAGGCATCCCGAGCAAACTTAATTTTAAAGTAATTTCTCATGTTTTAATAAAATAATTGCTTTTCTTTACCTCTTCCCTCTACTCAACATTCCCCCATACTTTAATATAAATAAGTACTTTTCATCTTTTCGGTCTTAAGCTTTTCAACTTATTGCAATGGAATATGAGGACAGTCCCCTTCCAGTCTTTATTACTATACTGTTTTCTTTCATAGAAAACGATTACCAATTTGTAGATTTCAGATAATCCAGTGGAGACAATTAAGTCCAGTTTGAATTTAGCAGCTATAAGAGGAATTTGCAGTTTGTTTTTTCAACTATTCAGAGCTTTCTAACAGGCTTCCAAATTTATCATACTTCCCAACTGCTGAATTTCTAAACCGCAGGGTCTAGAAAATTGCCATATACAGTATAATTAAAGTCAGATAGGAAAAATAAAGAGGAGGTCAAGTTTGCTTCCTCGTTCCTTGGAGATGTAACTATTTCTTTCAAATTTTTGCACATAATATATTTGAGCCTGGGGAATTTGTGCACATTTTGTGTTTCCCTAAAATAAGCCTTAGATAGCCTATCTTCTTTTTACAATCAACAGTACAACCAGGAAGATGGTCAAAGGTCATCTGTCACCTGCATTTACTCTGTAGTCAGCTCCCACAGAGAGCCTTCTACCTTTCTACCCAGTCCTTTCTTCGCTCCACCTCTGCCCACTTAGAAACCTCTGCTCTCAAGCTCACTTCTGCCTCAGAAAATAGTTTCCCAGAAAACACAATTTGCTGCATTGTCCAAAATTTTTTAATCTTTACTACTTTCTGAGATTGAACTTCATTTCAACCCAGACACTTAGAGTTCTTAGATTCTAATTCAAGAGATTCATTAGTGTGTTATAAATATAGAGAATAGTAGCTCTTGTGTTTTTTTTTCTGTGTGTGGTAAGAGGTGGAAAATATTTCCTCAATTCTAACTTATTCCTGATTTGACTTGGTTTATCCATAGGCAGATAAAGAGAAGAAGAAATTGAAAAATCACATTAATCACTGCATACCTCTAATGTGGATTTAGAAAATTTGAGGGAGGGAAAAAATGGATCATAACTGGAGAATTAAATCAAATGGAAAATTTCTCACTCTTTATAAATTTTTCTACAACAAGCACTAAATATATGGTTATAGGGTATTAGGTTAAGAAGACACTGCACGAAAGGTTAATATGTGTATCTGTGTGAAAATTCCTGCTCTCAGTCAAATTTCCCAGTGCATCTGGTTTCTAAGGAAAACAGTATCTCAGCTATAAACCCCAATAAATACTATTTGATGAGGGCGCTTAGTCTGCAAAGCCTTAGATTTATATTTAAATCCATTCATGCCACATCACAGGAGGTAGTACACATAGCAGCAACAGCATGGCAAACGAGGCTTTCTCCTTTAATCCTAAAACTATTTTTGTTCTACAGTGGCTTTCCCTGGTGGGCTGCCATTAAGAGATGCAAAGATCTTAGAGCCTTAATGACTTGGTACACCATGAATCCTTTTCATTGAAATACAAATAGAGATGTGGAACTTAGATTGAGAGAAGTATAGCAGTAATCTGACTTAATTCCTTGGCATGCAATACACAATTTGGGCAATGGACTTCTGAGAAAGGTCAATTCCTGCAATAAAAAGGTAAGGCCTTCAAGGAGTAAGCTTTAGAATCATTTCCTGATATAAATGGGTTTGTCTCCTTCCTTCCCTTCAAGCCATGGTTACAATGTTGGTTTTAGAATATGTTGTCTTTCTAAGTAAAGCGTGGGCAAATTGTCTCATTATTAATGGAGCACATAGTAAGCAGACAACACAGGCTGCTTAATATGGCACATATCAGCTGCTCGGTTAAGGGTACTAAAATATGGTGCTTATGAATGAAAGATTATGGTGATTTGTTTTTTCTTTGTGCTCTTCTGTTTTCTGAATTAAATATATATTACTTTTGTGATCAGAAAAAAAATTAAACACTGTTGTACATTCTCTGGAAAATAAAACTATATGCATGGGAATGGAAGAAAATGGAAAGGATTTACATTAAATGCTAACTATGTTTATAACAGAGCTAGGACTTGAGGTGACTTTTATTTTTCTCATCACTTTTTTATTCCCCAAATCTTACATAATGAACTTGTATTAATTTTTTAATTGAAAGGAAACTCAGCAAGTGTGATCAGAAACAAAGAAACAAATCAAGAAAAATTCCTTAATTACCTCTCACACTCCAGTGTTATTTTATAGTGTAGTCTCTTCTGTATATAGAAGCTCTTAATTATCATTTATATCACATATGATATTCCATTTTCCATCAGTTGATTCCCACAAATATCTACAACCTCATTGCTTAGTACTTATCTATGGCTTCCTGTTCCAGTCAAAGGTTTCTAACCTCTTGCTTGGTTATTAGTTGAAATCCACTTTGTTTATGTCAGTATTTTACTTAAAAATACTTTGGCCTAGACAGTATGATACTGTGTGTGTCAAGCTTGAGATCTAGGGGCCAGTAAGTTGCCTTGCTCAAAATCCTCACTTCAGCAAGGATCAGCAGGGTATTAGATGTTCCAGAGGCAGCCACCACAAGGATGTCTGTTATCCAAAGCCACACCTGAGGTTTTGGTTATAAGCAGAGAGAATATCAGAAATAGCTGTATATCAGCA